TGGGACTAGATAATCAATATTACAAGCTAATGGACTGTAAAAAATGACTCATTCTAACTCTACCAGGATAACAGGTGAATTGTAGTTTTACTCATCACTCTTGATGAAGGCAACTTGTTCCTGTTTTATTTTACCGAAGATAAGTGGACGATACATTTTGCTTCTTTAATAACAAATAAGATGCTGACTAATTATTTCGAACTAAATTCCCCATTTCAAATAATTCCTTATTAGATTTTCTTGCAATCAGAGCCTACAACTAAATAGTTTTTTGACATCTGACCTTATTTCCGCGCTTATTAATCCATACAAAATTGGGTTTACTAACGAGTTCACTACAGCAAGAAAATTTACCACAGCAAAGGCGTTCTGGGGAACAGAGTCCGGAGCCAGGGCATACCAACTTCTTACGATAGCGCTTGGACTGCATAAGATAACAAAAGAAGCAAATACCAAAGCAATGGTAAGAATTGGAAAGTCCTTTGATGCTCTTTTGCCTTGGATTTTCCTGTTTCTTTGATGATGGTTGATCGTTTCTTGTCGTGCCTGGGATCCCTGAAAGCAAATACTTTCTGCCTTCAACTGGTTCTCTTCGTCTTCCCCTTTATTTCTTTCTTTTTGCGCAATGCTTTTTTGACAACCAATACTTTCTAAATGCTCTTGGTTTTTATCGCTATAGTGTTGTCTCGTCCTCGATTCGAGGTGTTGTTGACACGCCTTTTGCTGAGTTTCTGTTGTCTCTAAGTTCTCTTCGCTATTTTCACCTTTACTTCTTTCGTCATGCACAATACTTTCTAAATGTGTCTGGTTTTCATTGCAAGTCTTTAAGTCAGTATTTGGTCCATGCAAACTGACTGCTAGATGTGGCTGGAATCCTTGTCGGTCATCTGACAGTATCTTCATCACGTTTTCTCCGTCGTTTTCTCCTTTCTCCCTTTTGACTTGCACAATGTTTTGTAGATGTGATTTGTTTTCATTGCCAGTTGGTTCTGGATGTGGTTTGGATCCTTGTTTAGGATGACTTTCCATCATTCCCAAATTCACTTTAAGACCATCAACTTCTGTTAATCCCATGTTGTCTTCTCCTTCGCTTTTGCAGTCATTGTCGATGGATGTGCTTCGCTCTTCGCCTTGGTAAACTCTAATTTTTTCTCCTGCCGTTTTCATGAGAATTGGTGGACTGTCCTCTGAATCACTTGAATTGCCTCGATGAATTTCAACTTTTACAGTTGTTTTAACAACTGTGCTTTTAATGTTTCGTCTGCTTTCACATGCTTGCAATGCACTAGCATTACCAAGATCTTTCGGATTTATTTCAGACGTCTTTTTATATAGAGCGGGTTTAAATCTTGACCTTCTTCGCATTCGCATAGCTTTCCTCACTTTTTTTTGCTTCGTTATCTTTTTTGCTGTGGTTGATATGCATACACTATTTATTATAACTGGAATGACATGKCCAATTAGACAGTACACTAACCAGTTGTAGGGATATTTGTGAGTGTCCAACCAGCAAGCACATCGTCCAGAAGCTGGTTCATATTCTCCCCACCCCATCAAAGGCATCATGGCCAAAAYCAAAGACAAGCACCAAGCACCAAAGCATATCTTGTTGATCCTTGATGGGAGCACATTAAGACGGTATTGAAAAGGCTTGATCACACTGTAGCAACGACAGGCTGCCATGATAGTGATCAGATATATGGAAGAACTGTGAGTAAAACGAGCCAAAAACGCGGTAAGCTGRCAAAAGAAARTRCTTGCAAGAGGACTCCCCGCTAACAARAAGAAATTGTTWAAGACGGCTGCCAGGGAAAGTAAAAAGTCAGCGAAGGACAGATGAAGAATAATGATATTTCCAGCGGAAAGACGGCGTATTTTACGAACCAACACGATGATGATGGGTCCATTAAGRAAAAGTATAGAAAACAGTAGCACCTGTCCATACGCCAACCATTTGGCATACTTCTTCAAGCATTGAACAGAAAACGTCCATGGCGCTGATGTTGACGAGTTTGCTGACATAGCAACTTTACACGAACGCTTAAAAACTTGTTTCTTCTGTAGAATCGTCAATGTGAAAACATTTCACACTCGATTACTTGCGTGCAAGTTTCAAGAATCAGCATATATTTTGAATAATTAGACAGAAATTTGTCTTTTGTCAACCCTTTCTTCTTTATGTTATTGTTTTAGAATATACTTTAATGGTGCGTTGTTTTTCTTATATTCTACTTGATGCATGCGTTTTAGTTAATTACAAACGGTGCTTCAACCATTAAATCTAACACCGACAATAAAGGGGTTTTACTGAAGTACCCAGGAATTCAACTAACATTGGCTTAGACACGTTACATTATATCACCACTCGTAGAGAAGGTCATTGGCAATAAAAACAGTTACACTCTTAATATTTGTTTTCCTATGCTCCATTTCGGTAATAGACTACGTTTTTTCAATTAGTAATATCTGAAAATTCAAAGGATATGAGACAGAGCCGGAAGACCTAAAATCCAATTGTTATAAAAGAGAAAAGCTAAGCCTGTATCGTTGTCAGAACYGGCTGAAAAGCAGATCCGAAACGAATTCTATTGTTTATCATGATTCCTGCTTAGTAAGAAGAATAATTTTCTAAATTTCAACCATTAGTGTGGAAAGCTTGAGACATTCACTTGAAAAAATCGCGCGCTTTAAAGGTTGTGTAAATTTGATTTAAATATGATGTAACTGTCCAAAATTATCTAAATTTGAAGAGCGCGATTTTTTCCAGTGATTTCTGGAAAATCTTGACGGAAGTCACTATTTACCTTYAACTGAGACTGGCCATTAAATGGAGAGCGTTCTAAACTAACGAGTCTAGAATTTTAACACTCAATGCTTCTGGAGCCTACGGGGTCTGTTCTTCTAAATAACTGTTCTTGTGCTACATTTTGAGCTACATTGTTGACAATCTTACAAAGTAAATGTGTTGTCCTTCTTTTCCTTAAAATAAGTTTGCCTTCCTGGCAAATGTTTTTATGGTCAAAAAGGGATGATATTTTTTTTAKTTAGGAAATTTTTATTTCCCTAGCAAAAATTCTTAGAAAGTATTTCTTGCCTGGAGAGTTTATTTTTCCTGGATTTCTCGATGCGCTCGTGGGTCCACTTGAGTTTTGAACATTTTATGACGTCAAGAGTGCATCAATAAGAGGAAATATAACTCAAAACCCTGCGCATATTTGTTAAATTTTACCACACTTGTGAAAATTGTCGCACGCTGATCATGGGCAAATAAGAGTGTGTCAACAAGATGACATGCACTGTGTTGACAACATCACTTCTGACGCGCGCGCTCAGTCGAAAGAAAACTAGACGCTCTTTGAGCGTGAAGTCGGGCTAGCTATTTTGGAAAATTGAGAAATTACTTGGATTTTCGAATACGCGAAGAGCGAAAAAGTTCAACGCGATAAGATAAAATTCGTATCTAAAAAACATGTAATATTCTGACAGTCATATAATTATATATAAAAGTAAATTATGGCGTAGAATACCTTATATAGTTTGTTTATTCACGCACCGCGATATTCTTTTCGGGTGGCTTGGCGCAGCGACATCAAAACACTAGGAATGTCGATCCAGGAGTGATATTCTGTCTTTCTCAATTTTCAAAAATAGCTATCCCAACTTCACGCTGTAAAAGCGTGTAGCTCATTCAAAATATGCAAATTTCGTGTGTTTTAAAAAGGTCATATAAACAACAATTTATAATTTAACAATTTTTGATGCAATGTTTAAAGTAAAGAATCCTATTAACCTATACTTATCCCGTTTTTTGTACATAGACCAGCTTATACTATTTAGGGGAATCTCCAAAGGCAACTCTTTCAAATAAATTCAAAATAAATGCTTTAAATGCTCTTAAAACTCATATACTATCATTACTAATGCAACCNAAATAAAATGCGGATAAACTCTATTTTGAAACAAAGTTTCTTTTGTATAAAGCTCTTATCCAATCATAAGCACTCAAAACAATAGCCAATAAAGATGCTTCTAATTTGCTATGTTCCCCACGTACTGAATTGCCTTAATATTGTAGCTAAAGAAAGCTTTCATGAAAGCGAAAGCAGACATTAAATATATTAGAAATTGCGCTAACTTGTGAAATTATAGCAGATTTTCATGTTTTAACCAATGGGATGGATGGATTATACAATGCATAATTAGCACATTCTTGCATTCCTGTGCCGTTTGCTTCCCTAGTTCTTACTCGGGCCATTACTTAAAAAGAACCAACTTCAAGTCCTGCGTCAGATACTGAAGGACGAGGGTCGACCTATGGAATAGTTTGATTGTATTCTTTCCGCAGGGTATCAGTGTCGGTTGTCAGTTAAAATTCCAAGTATTTGTCGGTAGTCGGTTGAAATTCTAGACATTTGTCGGTAGTAGTCGGTTATTTAAAAAAAGTTGATAAACATTAAGTTTGAATGCATCTACTACGGTGCGTTATATTAACAGAATGCTTTCTAAAATGCCAACAGTTGAATCCTTGAGTCTTAATTAGACAATTGATGGCACTTCAAGTTTTAGAGTTGCTAATCAAAACTCCAAGAAGCCACCGAACACCGAAACAAAATTTATTTTTCCACGTAAAATTTCGAATACAGTTGCTTGAAAATTAAAAAAAAAACTTGTATTCAAGAAGCTAATATCTTTGAATATTGCCTAAAAAATATTTATTTCGAAAATGTTGCCAGTAAATATGTTCTTGTCGGAAGTCAGCAAATTTTGTACAAATTTGTCGCTAGTCAGTTGTTATTTTGCCCATTTGACGCTAGTCGGTATCAAACCCTGTTATATCATACCATGTAGTGTGAATCGGGACTTACACTTTATCAAGAATTTCCGTTGTTCACACAAAATAAAACCAAGTTTAGAATTGGGCTGCCTGTATCAAAATAATGAGCAATCGAGGAACGCCTGACAGAAACCGCACTTCCAAGAATCGATCGGAGTTATAAACGAGTTGTTTGCAGTAATTAGCCTTCTTTTTGCTATTTCTTCGCTTAATCGTTAGTCGCCTTTACTATCATCCTAAAATTATTGTATTGAAGAATCAAAATATGGAGTCTTCAAACTGGCAAACACAATTTTCTACTCTCAGAGAACGTAGTAAGTACGCGTTCGACAATTCATTGTTCTGTGATGTCGAGTTCTCGGTTGCAGACGGCGATGGAAACAAAGTCACC